ACTGAGTAACAAAGGCCAGATTAATCACCTTGAGATTTGCCAGGTCTTCTTGGTCTATAGGAGTGTGTAACTGATAGTCGTCCAGGAGATGCTCCAGGACAGCTGGAGGCGATTCATCTGGACCCTGTTTCACTTTTATTACCTCGGATAGTTTAGTGGGCTTTTGTCACGCCTGTTTCATTCCTTCTAGCAGAACCTGGTGTATTCCACTCAGTGACCCTCTACCTCTCTCTGTGTTGTAGTTGTTAGGATTCCCCCACCACTCCAGCTGCATGACCACACATGCGCAGTTCAGCAGCTAAGCAAGGGGCTTACATCTTATGTCATCAGTGCACACTGCGCGTTTATGTGCATGTGGCATGGTCACACAACAGTCAGCGCATGCATGGCATAGCTCTGTAAGCCCACCTGCACGTGTTCACAGGAACCCTTAAAAAGCCGGACACAGACTCCTCCCCTCTCTCTGTTCTCTCTTGCTCCCCCCCCTCTGTTCTCTGCATGTGCTTCTTCCCCAGGCCTGGTTCTTTTGTGGCCCCCCCCATAAAGCTCTGATACTGGGTTTTGTCATGCTCATGCCTCATGACCTTTCTGCATGGCAACCAGTGCCATTTATCATTTTTCTATTCATATTTATTTATTTATTTGTTTATTTTCTATTATCAGCTTGATACAGTACAAATTCTGATCCTAATAGTGAAATGTTTCACTGAGGCTTGCCCAGTGATTGAGTAATATCAAAACTTATTATAAGCCACAGTCATCCTAGGGTCCCCCCTGCTATGTAGCCTCCCTGGTTCTGTGGGTTGCAGTCTGATTGTTCTTTGCTTTATATCTAGAATCCACTTCTGAGTGAGTACATACCATGTTTGTCCTTCTGGGTTTGGGTTACCTCACTCAGGACGATATTTTCTAGTTCCATCCATTTGCCTGCAAATTACATGCTGTCATTGTTTTTCTCTGCTGAGAAGTACTCCATTGTGTATACATACCACATTTTCTTAATCCATTCTTCAGTTGATGGGCATCTAGGTTGTTTCCAGGTTCTGGCTATTACAAATAGTGCTGCTATGAACATAGTTGAGCATGTTTCTTTGTGGTATGATTGAGCATTCCTTGGGTATATGCCCAAGAGTGGTATGGCTGGGTCTTGAGGTAGATCGATTCCCAATTTTCTGAGAAACCGCCATACTGATTTCCACAGTGGTTGTACAAGTTTGCATTCCCACCAACAGTGGAGGAGTGTTCCCTTTGCTCCGCATCCTCTCCAACATAGACTGTCATTAGTGTTTTTGATCATAGCCATTCTGACAGGTGTAAGGTGATATCTCAGAGTCATTTTGATTTGCACTTTTCTGATGACCAAGGATATTGAGCATTTCTTTTTTTTTTTCTTTTTCTTTTTTTTTTTTTACCGAGCATTTCTTTAAATGTCTTTCAGCCATTTGAGATTCTTCTTTTGAGAATTCTCTGTTTAGCTCTTTAGCCCATTTTTTAATTGGATTGTTCAGTATTTTGATGTCTAGTTTCTTGAGTTCTTTATATACTGTGGAGATCAGTCCTCTGTCAGATGTGGGGTTGGTGAAGATCTTTTCCCATTCTGTAGGCTGTCTTTTTGTCTTCTTGTTGTCTTAACACTGCTCTTGAAACAGCTGGGGTCTTGTCTTAATCTTTAACCATCTGTCTGTTCTCCCTGTGACTGAGAATGTAGGGCAAGGGTCAAGCACTAGAAGAAACTGGGTAGGCAGGCTAATGTTCAGACTTACTCTGGGCCCTTCAGGACCTCCAGAAAATGTTAATCTCAATGGCAAGAATAAGATCACTACCACGATTTAAGCCAAAGTTGAAGCAAGCTTGATTTTTTTTTATCGGGATGGACCCTAGAGTTGGCCAATGACTGCCTCCTAAGTTGGGTTAAACAGAGCAGCCCTGAATCCATCTCTTGGGTTCCTTTTAAGGAGTAGTTTTACAGAAGGGAGACAATGGGGCAATAAGGAAATACAAGAAGCCTGAAAAAAACATCATGTGGTCACCATGTGATTAGGGAGAGGTCAGGGAGGGTAAGGGTATTCTCAAAAACAAATCAGGGTCATGGGCCTGGGAAGGTCAGGGTCCAGGAAACAGGAGCAACTCAACTCTCCCAGTAAATAGAAACTTTTTTAAAAATACAGCGCAATGGCTCCTGCCTTCAAAATGAAGCCAGGCAGTTTCCTTACAAAGTGTGTTATTTATTAAGCGGCGCTGTTTACCATTCGAGAGAAACCACGAGGCACAACGAACTCACTATAAGAGTTTATTAAGGGAAGGGAATAGAGGGGATGCGCATAGGCCTATGGAATGATTGTGTAAGAAGAGAGAGAAGGAACACCTGAAACCTGATTTTTATAGGATTCCCGCCCCCCATGCACATATGAGTTATGTTGCTATGCCATGCATGTGCATAGATTACGTGATCACTCTGTGTGCAAATTATGTGATCATGTAGCGCTTCGATTATATAAGATGTTAAGGGTCTGGGATGACTAAGCATCTTGCCTGGCTACTGGACAGCGCACTTGAGGTCATATAGCTGGGGGAGTGGCTAGGAATTCTAACAAAGTGTACACCTTTAATTCCCTCGGGCAGGCGGATCTCTCTGAGTATGAAGCCAGTCCCGTCTATGTAGCAAGTTCCAGGACAACCTAGAGATACTGTCTCAAACAAAACAGAACATTGCCACAAACTTGCTGCTGACGGGGACTTGGGGGTTATGCCTGCCACTGTTTTTTCTTTGTCTTGTTTTGGGTTTAGGTTTTTTTTTGTTGCTGGGTGGTGTTTTTTGTTTTGAGACTGTTTCTCTAGTAGCCCTGGCTGTCCTGGAACTCACTATGTAGACCAGGCTGACTCAAACTCACAGAGATCTACCTGCCTCTGCCTTCCAAGTGCCGGATTAAAAGTTTGTGCCACCATGCCTGGCTCGGCCACTGTTTTTTTTAAAGGCACTTTATCAGAAGGCCAAGGGAAAGGGGGGTAAATAAGGGAGATTTTATTGATTTGGGAGCATTTTCAGGAATAATGGATTTAATACTCTGGCAAGAATCTCAGGAGAAGTGCCAACTTTTCTGCAGAATGGAAGGCAGAGAATGTTGTCCACATTAACCACAGTTGGAATGCTAAAACTGCCATGACAATAGGAAAAAAAAAAAAAAAAGGCTTCACAGGCCCAGAAAACTGAGCATGCTAAATGGATGTACTATGTAAAGTGAGAGGCTCTCCAATACCCATGTGCTGCAGAAAGGGCGGTGAAGAGGATCCTGGTAACAAGGGCAGTTGTGTCTCTCTCCAAGGTCACTGTAGCTCTCCTCTGCAGGCTGGTGATAGGAAAGGTCATTACAGAGGCTTCCTGATAGGAACGGCAACAGTGAGGCGCTAGTGACAGAGACTGTGTGACAGTACTTTGTGACCATATGGTTACAGTCGTGTATGCCAAGTTCAGAGGGCAGCCAGGTGTGACTGTTCTGCAGCTTTATAGAATGAGTGATAAGACATGGTATCTGTACCGGCTAGCGTTTAAAACTGAGTATTAGTTGAAAGGACTCTAGCTAACCCAAACATGGCAAACATGGCTCTGGCAGGCCTGGCCCTTCTCCCTCCCCCGCTCCATTCCATCTGCCTTGCTAAAAACTATTGGATTACATTCCTAGAGCTAGTCACCAAGATCTATGCCCCCCTTTTGGCCACTTTCTCCTCCTGAGGCTGACTACCAAGGCCCAGCAATCAAAAGCCCCCTTTTGGCTGTCCTAATTAATATGCCCAATCAAAATTAAATACCTCATCCTAGCTAGAGAACGGTGGCGCACACCTTTAAACCCAGCACTGGGGAGGTAGAGACAGATGGATCTCTGTGAGTTTGAGGCCAGCCTGATCTACAAAGCGAATTCCAGGGCAGGCTCCAAAACTACACAGAGAAACCCTGTCTTAAATGAAAAACCAAAACAAAACAAAAAAGCCACCACCACCACAACAAAAGCAAACAAAAACCAGGAAAAAGAACAACTCATCCTAACACGGGGTTTCCCCTTTTACCTTTAGAAACTGTCATTTGCCTATATGTCACATCTGTCTCCTCTCTATGCAGAGGCAGTCCTTTGTCGTTCCCCACCCTCTCCAGGACGAATGTCCCTTGTTCCCTTCCCCTGATCCCTCTTCCTCTGTCTCCTGTCTTTGTCTCTTATTCCCTGCCCTTTGTCCCTCTGGGGCAACTAAATCTCCTTAGTGTTGAGGAATTGGTCTTGGGGTGTCTTGAGCTAATACTGGTCCCTTCGTTGGTAAACTATATACATTTATGGGGTACAAAGGGATGCCGTGACATATGCACACAATGCGGAATTATTGAATCGACCTAATACACATATCCATCATTGTATTTATTGTTCAGTAAGTACTTACTGCTCATTCCTCTTATCTAATTGAATGATTGCATCTTTTGGTCAATAACTTCTCCAGAAACTCCAATAAGCTCCTACCATTCCTAGCCTCTGGTAGCCAGCATCCTCATCTCTGCTTTTAGGAGTTCTATTGCTTTAGATTTCACATGTAAATAAGAACACTTTGTTTTTCTAGGTTTGGGGTGGCTGGTTAATGTGTCAATTTTGCTGAGCCATGACATCAATGACCATTCTAGATTTTTCTGTGCAAGTGTATTTGGAGATCAGCTTTTGTTTGTTTGTTTGTTTTTGTTTGTTTGTTTGTTTGAGACAGGATCTCTACATAGCCCTGGCCATCCTGGAACTCACTATATAGACCAGGCTGGCCTCAAACTCACAGAGATCCACCTGTCTCTGCCTCCTGAGTGCTGGGATTAAAGGCATGCTCCACCACTGCCCAGTGTGTGGGTGTCGTCTAATTCACTGAAGACTGAATAGAATGAAAAGGCTGGTTTGCTCTAAGCAAAGTGGAATTCTCCAGAAGCCTGCCTTTTGACTTCATTGACAATACTGGCTTGTTTGTTTGTGTGTTTCTAGGCAGAATGACTTGTGCAGTCCAGAGACAGCATCAATTCTTCTGAGTCTGCAGCCTGAAGACTGGATTTGACCACCTCCATGACAGAAGTGAGGTTCACTGGCTATGTAATAAACACAACATGATAAATATCTTCATTTGTAAGCATCGTATTGATCCTGTCTCTTTGAATCACCCTGGTTATACAGCAGGAAGATAACCAAATGGTTTACTTAATCTATGCAATCAAAGGAGATGAAGTATGTGTGTATTTCAGTTGTCTGCCTCTAACAAAACATTTGAGTAATTCACTTGTTAAAAGGTTTATTTTAGTTCACACTTTTGAAGGCTTCTGTGACAATCTTCATTATTTTAAATCAGGTAGCATTAATAACATACAACAAGTTTACACTATATTTTATTTTTCTTGTCATTCTGGAAAAAAAATAACAAGAGATTATGACAGCAACGTTTATTCTTCCATAGAATGTATTCGTTAAAATTAAATATGTGGAACTCAAATTTTAAAATGTGGAGCTCACATTTAGAAGGCATAATTGAACACCATAACCACATTAGTAGTCATTGAATGTCACAGTTAAACTAAATGTATTAGGCACCATTTTAACAGGGACAAAAATTTCACCCAGAGAGATAACAAAGTTTTTGTTACTTGTTACGTGTCTTTAAAAACTCTTTCGTTTTGTTTTTTTAGCATGATTGTGTGCAGCAGGTGAACTAGAACGTGTAGTGATTGATTCAGATTGCCATAGCTCATGACCCAGGTCTCCTGGCTTCAGTTTCTGGCATTATCAAGAAGTATCAAGTCACACAGCACTTCATTCAGGTTCAAGAGAACAGTTTCTCTCTTTCTCTCTTAAGACTTATTTATTATGTCTACAGTGTTCTGTCTGCATATACACCTGCCGGCCAGAAGAGGGCACCAGATCTCATTGTGGATGGTTGTGAGCCACCATGTTGTTGCTGGGAATTGAACTCAGGACCTCTGGAAGAACAGCCAGTGCTCTTAACCTCTGAGCCATCTCCCCAGCTGCTGTGGGATGGTCTTTATGTCAAGTGTGTTGCTGATTGGTCAATAAATAAATCACTGATTGGCCAGTGGCTAGGCAGGAAGTATAGGCGGGACAAGGAGGAGAATAAAGCTGGGAAGTGGAAGGCTGAGTCAGAGACACTGCCAGCCGCCAAGATGACTAACAGTATATGAAGATGCCGGTAAGCCATGAGCCACGTGGCAAGGTATAGATTTATAGAAATGGATTAACTTAAGCTGTAAGAACAGTTAGCAAGAAGCCTGCCACAGCCATACAGTTTGTAACCAATATAAGTCTCTGTGTTTACTTGGTCGGGTCTGAGCGGCTGTGGGACTGGCAGGTGAGAGAGATTTGTCCTGACTGTGGGCCAGGCAGGAAAACTCTAGCTACACCCAGCCCTACAGTTTGTTTCTTATTTCACAGGTGAAGATTGGTTGCCCAGGAAAAGATGAGTGGAAACATTTGAGGTTCGGAAAAGTTCTGAAGCATAAATGGCTATTCATCAGCTGTGGGATTTCTAAGAGTAGCTCTGGTTGGACATATACTACTGTTGATGGACTGATAGATTTTGCTCTGTAGTAGGAACCCTGCTTTCCCCACACCTGGCCCTGCTACTCTACTATTTTAAGATATAAAGGATCTAGCTCTAAGTGATGTTCCCCTAGATATGATGTTTCCTTTGCATTTCCAATCTAACTCTTTCCAGGCAGCTATGAGGAAAGGGATGAGTCAGCTTATCAAATGGATCTTTAGTCTAGCTCATCCTTTTTGCTTGATCAGATCTAAGGAATTATTCAAATACAGGGCACTCTGAAGTTTCCAGAGTTATGCTCTTCACTGAACCAAGGGCAGTATAAAAACAGACAACATCATTCTTAAAATGACTTTAGTAATCTAGATCCATTTTTTTAATGACATAAGCTCAATAAAAAGATGTGTTCACAATACACGATTGTTTTTGGTTGCTTGACATGTTTGGAACCCTAAACCCTCAGGTTCCCAGGCTCAAAAACTATCTCTTACTTGCTCCTATGATGATGCAAAGAACGTAAAGACTACATTGAAAAGCATTCTGATTACTTGGAAATTTTGTTTAAGCTTATATACAGTGAACCATCACACCATTACGTGTTCTGAAATTATTAGCACTGTAGATGAGCCGTTTTAATCAGGTGCAAGTTTATCATACACTGGGTAGATTTTGTTCATTTAAAAAATTCTAATGACTTAAAATATTTGGTAATTAGCTATACCATCTAGTAGTATTAAATTTAAATAAGATTTAAAAATTTAAATGTAATATTAATATAAAATAAAATATGTCTTTTTTTTTTTTGAAGATAGGGTCTTACCATGTAACTCTGGCTGTCCTGGAACTTGATCTGTAGACCAGGCTGACCTCAAATTCACAGAGATCCACCTACCTCTGCCTCCTGAGTGCTGGGATTAAAGGTGTATATCTGGTTTCTAAGAAACCTGGGCAGCAGCCAGGTAGTGTAGCATATACCTTTAATCCCAGCACTTGGGAGACAGAAGCAGGCGGATCTCTGTGAGTACGAGGCCAGCCTGGTCTACAGAGTGAGTTCCAGGACTGCCAGACAGAAAAACCCTGTCTTGAAAAAACCTAAAGAAAAAAAGAAGCCTGGGCAAAATCTTTTTTGCCTAGAGCAAATACTGACTGTTTTTGCATTATCGTCCACATCCTCTATAACAATGTATAAGAAATAGGTCAAATATATATATATGTATATATATACACATATATTATAAATATATATTGATACATATGTATATACACATACACACACATCCAGTATATATATGGATAGATTTGGGGTTAAGGGTATACACATTTGGCAGTCTTTTTTTTTGGTTTTTCGAGACAGGGTTTCTCTGTGTAAGAGCTTTGGCTGTCTGGGAACTGACTTTGTAGGCCAGGCTTGACCTAGAACTCACAGAAATCCACCTGCCTCTGCCTCCGCAGTGCTGGGATTAAAGGTGTGTGCCACCATGCCAAGTTTATCACTCTCTGTTGATACCTCCTCTGTAAGGGCAGGAGTGTGGGAAATAACTCCTCTGTAAAGCAAAAGCACTTCAGCCCAGCTTTACTTGCCCTTTTACATTTCTCAATCATAAATGCGTGTGTGTATACACACACACACTGGTAATCAAAGAGTTGGGAGCTGACTGTTTCTGCTCCTGCAAGTGTCAGCTTTTGGAGGCCCCACCTTCCCATTTGTTCGTCCAGCTTCCTAATTCTGTGCTAGTATAGAACACCTCTTATCCTTCAGACCAGACTTTATTCTTCATCCAGCATTACTATCATGAAAGGTGTCCACCGAAAGTGAAATCACACTTTAAATTTCAGTTGTTCAACTTGACAAGTAGACCAAACTGTTAGATATTCCGCATTTTAGGTCACACTGATAAGTTTTTGGCTTCCTGAAGGCCTCTCTACCATTGCAACAAACCGAATCAGACCAAATTGGAAAGCCCAGGTTTAATGGGTAAAGTGCTCCCGGGCAATTCCCTGGCCCTCAGAGAGGAGACAAGGAGGCGAGACTGGAAGAACCACGAGTCTGTTTTTGGGGATGCTGCTTATATGTCCCCTGTGGGAGTCATCCTAAGCCTCTCTGGGGGAGGAGCTGTGTTTGGCTGGCTTTGAAGGGGTGGGTTTAAGGAAAGAGATGGGGAAAGGAGCCGAGGCGGATCTTCCACCAGACTCCTTCCAAACATTCCAGACTCTTTGGGTATAGGGATGCCAGGGTGCCAGGGTGCCAGGGGTTGAGGTGGAGTTCCCACCCAAACATTCCAGACTCTTTGGGTATAGGGATGCCAGGGTGCCAGGGTACTAGGGGTTGAGGTGGAGCGCCCACCCAAACACACACCAGTTTGGATGTGATGGAAGAGTGTAATGTAAAATTTAGAATTGTAACAGTAAAAATAGATTGCTTTGTGTGGGGAGGGGCAGTTTGAATTCATTCCCACAAAATACCCTGGGGATATAAAAATATTGACAATATAAATATTCAAAACTTTCATAGTGACATAATTTATATTCTCTTCATAAGCACTATTAAAAATACACAAACCTAGAAAATGTACAAGTGTTAATATTTTAAAATACAATTAAATGCCTACTTCAAAGGTTCACAAAAACATTTTCAGATTGACTTTTTGATTGGATTAATTTTCCAAGGGCTTTCTTCTCTGTTGTTTGGGGTTTAGAGAAAGAGAGATTCAACAGTGGTTCAAGGTAAAAGGACAGAGGGCAATGCCAGCCAAGGTCTCCCCTGGGTCCATTCAAACACGCACCATCTTCTGGTACCTCCACACAGAAATAAAGAACACAAGAAGAAAATCCTCATCAACTGTAAATATAATGGTATGTCCAGAAGCAGCTGAATCAGCAGCACACTTGTATAGTGCTTTCTGCACTCAAAGCTTTTTAACACCATCCATTTGGTTTTCAAAATAATTCCATAAAATTCAATAAATGAGTCTAGTAGGCTCATTTTATAAGCCAGAAAAATGATGGATGTTCAAGAGATCATTGGACATTCTTATGGTCGAATACTAACTAGCAGAGCAAAGGCAAGCTCAGAGCTACATTCTCTGACTTCTTGCTTAATATTCTTTACACTAGGCCATTTTGGTTTTCAAACAGATGAAGTTACCATGGTTTAAGCATAAGAGTCTTATAATCTCAAAAAGGTAATTTCATTGGGTAATTAGATATCCTTCTGTGATTTATAGCATAGAACAGGTATACATGTTATAAAATATTTAACACTGTGATCAAAATGTCCCTTCCATGCATGTTCAAGCAGTAAATTAAAAATTAGGCATGGTAAGCTGCATGCCTTTTATCCCAGCACTCAGAGTCAGAGGCAGGCAGATCTCTGACTTCGTATCCAACCTAGTCTATGTGTCAAGTTCGAGGCCAACAAGGGCTACCAAAGTGAAACCCTGTCTCAACCTTCATGCCAAAAAAATTAAGGAGCTGCATTTGGGAGACTGAGGCAAATGGGTTTCAGCTATATATCAAAACTGTCTGCAAAACAGAAAAAAATAATAACTTAAAAAAAATTGAGCCCGGCGGTGGTGGCGCACGCCTTTAATCCCAGCACTCGGGAGGCAGAGCCAGGCGGATCTCTGTGAGTTCGAGGCCAGCCTGGACTACCAAGTGAGTTCCAGGAAAGGCGCAAAGCTACACAGCGAAACCCTGCCTCGAAAAAAACCAAAAAAAAAAAAAAAAAAAAAAATTGAACTTGAACATCATTTTATTTACTTAACTGAGTATTTTATCTACCCTTCTATTGATGAGATTGTAAAATGAAATGTGAGTGCTAAATCGAGTGGCTAACACCATTTTCCTTGTTCAGAACATCTTGTCCACTTTTCTTTCACTGGAAATAGGATAATTTGGAAATCTGAAAAAATACTATGTATGTTTATTGATAATTTTGACAATAGTTCAAGGTAAACTGCATTTTTTTTTCCTTTGAAAACATCACTATTTTTTTTCTTGGCTAAATTTGTTTTTGTTTTTTTCTGGCTAAATTTTAACAGTGTACTATAATATCAAAGTATTTGCTACTGAGTGATCCTTTTTGTTTACTATGAATATTTGCATAAAATATCTCCTTTGAACATTTGCATACCTTATCAAAAGTGAAGATTTCAGTGGCTCTTACAATAATTGTAAGTGAATAAACCCAGGAACAAAAAGGAATACAAAACTTATTTTATTATGTTCTAAGAAGTACAAACCTGGTACTTTGAAAAGAAAATTTATATTTTAGTCTTAGTCAGTACATCTGAGACTGCTGACAAGTACTTTGCCTCCCCGGCCCAATCCCCAGTTTTGATGCCGGGGATTGAATCTAGATTTTCAGAAACTAAGGAAACATTCTGCCACTGAGCTATGGCCACAGCCTGCAAGGTGTACCTTATGCATTTTTCACATTATTTGGTGTATGTCCCTGCACTCACTCATGTGTATTCGTGTGTGCATATGTATGACAGGACGGCGTGTATACTGAAGTCAGGAGACAACTTCCAGGGAAGTGGGTTCTTTCCTTCCACCACAGGGGTTCCAGAGATCAAACTCAAGTCTACAGATGTGGTGGCAAGCTCCTTCACTCACTGAGTCATCTCGTTGGCCCTTCAAGTGCACTGTACATTTAATACTAATTCGCTCAGGAGAATATAATTCTGATACATTTATTTTCAGCCAGACTACGTATATACCCAAAACTCCATTTACAACTGTCAAGAAAGATGAATAATATTGACATATCTGGACGCTAAGGTCTGCTATATGCTAAGAAAGTGAGAATGGATGTAATCTTGTAGACACTGGTTTCAGGAAAAGAGTTGCCTGCTTTTCCTCATAACCCCTAGCTGCTAGCGTGTAACTGGCGAGCACAGAGTCCTGTATCCGACAGCTAACAATGGTGCTACCGTGGGTCTGGATGTTTTGTAGATGTTCACTCCTTGTGCCATTCTGCTCTAAATGTGACTCTTATCCAGAAGCGTCGTGACCTGTCTGCAGTAGTTCTTTGGCATGCTGAAGTCAGCAGAAGCACTCTCTCCTGGGCTTCACGGCTTCCTCAGAAGAATGCACAGTATTTGGAACAAAACCACTTTTAACCCCTTCCCAGCCATCCTGAATACATATCTCTCCCTTCTTAATAAGTTCATATATGTCTCTTGTCAAGATTGTGAAGGACTCCTCAACATTTGTAGCGTCTTTGGCTGAGGTTTCTATGTACTTCATTCCACAGTCTGTTGACAGTTTCTCGGCTTCTTCCCTTGACACCTGGCGTTGTGAAGCTAAATCACATTTATGTCCCACCAGTAGGAATATGATATGAAAAGGCTGTACGTGCATTTTCGCTTCCTCTAGCCAGTCTTTCACATGTTCAAAAGACCGTCGGTTAGTAATGTCAAATACTAAAAATCCACCAACTGAGTTGCGGTAATAGGATCGAGTTATGGATCTGAAAAATAAAGAAGCTTGTGTAAGGATAATGCTCTTTTCTCCTTTGAATAATGAAACACCAAAATCAAATTTGAAGACAACTTAATGTCATTTAAATAGAATTTAAAAATCCAGTATGAAGAATCTTAGGTGAACAAAAATATCTGAGGTTAACACATAGGCCCATTTCATATGTGGACAGAATATTGAAGCTGCATTTCTTAGACACATAAGGACTTTGGCAGTATATCATCTTGCAGTGATTTATGGGGTTTTATTTTTAAGTATTTGATAAAAGAGTTATTACAAAATTGGGTCAAAAACAGAGGACTAGGGATGTAAGTCAGTAGAGTGCCTAGCATGCAGGAAGCCCTGATCAATCCCTGGTTCCAGATACGACCTGTATGGTGACACAGCCCTGTAATCCCTTCACACAGGACGTGAAGGGAAGAGAATGATCAAGGTTGGGCTGAGAAGCTAACTCAGTTGGACAAGGACTTGCCATGCAAACATGAAGACCTGCGTTTGGTCCCTAGAACTCATGAAAAAAGCCTGGTGTGGTGCCTCAAAATTGTACTCCTAGCACTGGGGAGGCAGAGGCAGGCAGACCCTGGGAGCTGCTGTCCAGACAGCTAATATACTTGATGAGTTCCAGGCCAGTGAGAGATTGCTCTCAAAAAACAAGGTAGACATAAAAGAGGAACACTACCCGAGATTGACTTCAGGCCTCCACACTCACCACACACATGTGCTTGGGTACCTGCACACACACACACACACACACACACACACACACACACACACTCACTCACTCACTCATACACACGCGCGCGTGCGTGCGTACGCACACATATTCAAGTCTTCTCTGCTAACATAATGAGATTGAGGCCAGCCTGGGATATTTGAGACAGTCAGAAACAATTCCAAACACAAAGCAAACAAACGGAGAGATGGAGAGGGTGTAAAGGGAAGGGTCATACAGTAAGGCAGACTTGGTGACTCTTTCCTGGCCGATAGTTCAGTGAGGTTCTGTTGTAACAGCTTAGGAAAGACATCTGTTGCATGTTCATTTCATCTTTTCCTACCTGGATGTCATCTATCCTTTCTCTGTCTTTCACACTCCTGTTTCTCCTCCAATAGTTGAAGAAAGCTATCACCTGAGAAGCCTTCCCCATCACTGAGTCCTTTCTCAAATGATCCCACCGATTGGTTAGCACACTGCTATTACGTTCACATCAATTTTTATAATGTGCTGACTGGATATTGTTAGCATTCAGACCCGCCCCTTGGGGACCCAGCCAATAAGTGGGCAATACCTTAGCCCACCCAGCGTCCTGACAACATCATCCTAGGTAAAGTCCTCTTTAAGAGAAAACCCCTGCCCCCTCCCCCAGTCTCTTCCCCTCTCCCTTCCTATCTTCTTTCCTCTCTCTTCCTATGGAGGTCACTCTGCACCCCTTGCTTCCTCTCTTCCTCCTTCTCTTCCTCTTCTTCTCTCCTCAGCCCTCACCCACTTTCTCTCTTCCCCCTCTCTCTTTCCCTTAATAAAACTTTAAAACTTTCCACGTGAGTGCCACCTGCATGGTGTGTCTATCCCCGAGGCTCCCACCCTCCATGACTACCACCTGCAGTGTCTGCATGGCATGTCTCTTTCTCACCCAGCTGTGGGACCCCTTAGCTCCAACCCACCAAGGTCTCTCTCCCGCTGTTTTACAAAAGATATGTAGGTATGTCTCTGGCTCAATACATGGTTCCTTGAAGGTCAAACATGTTTTATACATGTGTCTTACATCATATTGGCTGGTAAGTCTTAGGTATCACAAAATGTTTGCTACACAGGACTGACTACTCAGAAGTACAAGAGGAAGTGTTGAATGCCAAGGACCTCCCAAGTGTCAGAATCCAAGTTGTTAACGCTCTACACTAAACTCATCTACTTGTCCAAGGTACAGAGACCTCTGTGAAGGGACAGTGGAACGCCCCAGACCCTTGTGCTCACTACATTATCCTCATTCCTAAAGCTACAGTAGTTCGGTGACCCAACACTATGCCTGCCTTTGCTTCTAGGGCAGGTGTTTTCAGTCACCGAGTACTTGTCTAGCACTCATGAGGCCCCAGGTTCAATACTTAGTACTGCCAGGAAAAAAACAACACCTTTGCTTTCTGAGTGCGAAGAAAAAAGCATCTACCCTTCCCCGTTTCTTCACTTGCCTCCCAGTTTTTCCTCAAAATTCATACAATACTTTTTCCTGTCCTTTCATCCATCTTTCTATTTTTGAGACATTGTTTTCCAAGCCCAGGCCAGCCTAGAACTGCTATGTGGCCCAGCTGTCTTCCCAACTCAGCCTTCTGAGTCCGAGGATTGCAGGCACGCACCGTCATGCTAGGCTCCAAGTGACAGTTTGAGAACTACATACGGTACAGCATTGACGACAAGAAAAATTGCCCGCCATCTTTGGCGGGATACAAATAACCTAGTTCAATTAAGTTGCCACTGTCTTTTTTAATTCTGTTGGATAATAAATTTGTTACTGTTCTGCCACTCATCTCTCTGGATGTGTGTGAATTCAGGCAGATGTGCAGTATGGTAAGATAGATGTAATTAAGGTTATGTTGTCAGGCTGAAACTTCATCAGCACCAAATCCGCCTTGCTCTCTAGACCTTACCACCAGCGTAATTTTATTACATTTATTTATTTACTTTATGTGTGTGTATGTGTATGTTATATATGTATTTGGGTACATGCATACCATGGCACACATGTGGAGATCAGAGGACAACTTTCAAGGGTTTATTTTCTCCTTCCACCATGTGAGTTTCGAGATCTGTGTTGGTTTGAAAGAAAATGGCCCCCAAAGGGAGTGGAATTAGGTGGCTTTGTTGGTATGGTATGTTTGTAGATATGTTCTTGTTGGAGGAAATGTGTCGCTGTGGAGGCCAGTTTTGAGGGTTCATATATGCTTAAGCCATGCTCGGTGAGACAGTCCATGTCCTGTTGCCTTCTGATCAAGATGTAGCCAGCATCATGTCTACCTGCACACCGCCATGCTTCCGGCCATGATGATAATGCACTGAACCTCTGAACTGTAAGCTGACACCTCAGCTGAATGTTTTCCTTTCTAAGAGTTGCCATGGCTGTGGTGTCCCTTCACATCAACAGAAACCCTAACTAAGACAAGATCGAACTCAGGTCCTCAGGCTTGGTAGGAAGTGCCTTTACCTGCTGAGCCATCTCACTGGATTTACCAGTATGATTTTTAAAAACAAGCCTTTTGTGGTTGAAAATTCAATGTTGAGAAGATTACTTAGTGCAAGTTTTTCAAGATTTTACTGGGATATGGGAACCTGGGAGATAGCTCAGTGGTTACAAGTGCGTGCTGTTCTCTGAGGACCCAAGTTAGGTTTCCAGCACCCATGTTGGCTCACAACTGCCTGTAACTCCAGCTCCAGGGGAATCAGATGTCTCTACCCTTGGAGGGCAACTGCATTCAAATATACATACTTACATGCAGACACAAGAATACGTAATTAAAAATAATAGAGCTTGAATAAGGACCACACCAATAGACATGCTGACATGAAGGGGGACAGTTCATGTTCAATCCTAGACAAAGAATTCCAGGCAGC